CGCACGTAGGATTCCAAACTACAGGAACGTCAAAAGTGGGAGCCTTCACATAAAAAAAATGGGTCTTCCATTTCCCCAAAGATAACTTCACACTCTTCACGAATTGGTAAGGAACGCGAGGATGAAAACAAAAGAAAGGCGTCATATTGGGCCGGTGTAACGTAAATAACGCCTTGAACAAACTCACGGTCATAGGCAAACCCACGAGAGACACCCTATGGTGAAACGCCTCAAACGTAAGAACTGCAGTCGGAGTAAGCTGACTATACCCTATCTTAAACTCTTCGCAAACCTTCAACAAAGTCGGATGCGGAGTAATCTGAGATGTACAAGTCAAGTAACCCAAAAATACTGTATGAAACCCATCGGGCGGCGAATACAGACGGTCGCCCTTCTGAGGCAACAACAACTCGACATTACTTGGCGCTCCAGACAGACGACGAATAGAGTGCAAATGCTCTTCCGTCAACATACTATCAAAATCAACTAAGTCCAAATTAATTGGCTTCTTTTTCTTTTGCCTCCTCTTATCAACCTCAACATCACCTGGCGGAATATCATCTTCCTCCTCCTCTTCATCCATCAGCTCATCTCCACTACTTGACACAACATGATCACTCGCCAAAGGGGCTTGGATAGAATCATCACTATCGCTCCCAAAATCCATGATTTGACGTCGAGAATACCGCCTACTAGCCACGACTCCGTCTACTCGCTCGAGAACATTATCACCATTTTGTACATCGTCACTCCAAGATTCAATGATTTCTCGCCTTACGGAACTCCTAACATTCACATCATCTTCAACGAAAACTCGCTCCTCATTTCGCCCGACCTGCTCACGCGAATCGCGCCGAAAACGAGCCCTGGACGCGCCCCCACGCGCCTCCAAACCTGCCAACGACGCGCCCTCACGCGCGCCAACTGCCCCGCCATCAGACGCGCGCGCACGCGCCGAAGAAAGTCCCCCGGACGCGCGCGCACGTGCAGCCACGTCACTCCCATCCACTACCGCGCGCGCGTGCTCAACAGATTCCCGCCCCGACGCGCGCGCGCGTCCAACACCCCTACTCGCTGACGCGCGCGCGCGTCCCTCGATATGCGTGCCCTCCTCGCGCGTCGCAACCCTCCCCTTCCCAGCTGACGCGCACGCGCCACTTCCTCCACCCAAGCCGAGGGCAGCGTCCTCGGGCTGCGCACCCTCACAGACAATAGAGGGGCCAGCAGCTCGGTCTAGGCCAACGGCTACAGCCGAGCCATCTCTGCCAGCTACCACCTCCACTCTCCCTTCCATTCCTGCACCACCTGACGCCGATCCGATTTTTTCACGCGATACCATGTGTTCCTCGCGTTCCATACCCACCGTACCAAAAGTTTTCTCGCTCCCCTCAACCGGATCTCGAAGTTTAATACGCAAAGTTTTCGACTTACCCGAGTTCGACATGATAAATAATTTTATCCGGCCAAACAATCAAACAAAAAATTTCTACTCTACCACAAAAAAAAATTCAAGAGAAAAATAGCACAGAAGAAAACCTAGAGTTCAAAGAACATACCCATATTTATTGCAAGAGTTGAAGTTTAATTCTCTCCACCGCAAAAGAAGTCTATTTATCTGGCCGTGGTACAATATTTAAAACCCTTAAATATATACCTTGCTGCCAAATAAATATAATAATCCCTTATTTAAATTAAGGAATTAATTCACACCACCGGAAACAATTCAATACACGAGGCAATTAACTCGCGACACGACCCGGATCCCTCTACACAAGGCCCCGTCTCGAATCGAGAGTTGGGGGGCTTAATGATATACCTAATTGGGCCGACCCAATGGGCCCCAATTTATTTAATAATTAGGCCCAATACACGAAAGTATTCGGGCCCATTACCCGAAAGCCCAAACACCTTCAAAGTAAGGCTTGGGCCCAACAAAAAAAGCCCAACTCAATCAACGACATATAAATAGAAGTTTTATTCATTTGTAAAGGTACGTTCTGATTATTGACAATTCACCTCGAGTTTTATTCTCTCTACTCTCTCTACGATCCGTACATCTGACTTGAGCGTCGGAGGGGTTTCCGCCGGATCAACCCCCGGCTTAGTTCACGTGTGCTCTTTTCGCATGGACCTCAGGAGCATCGAATTGATTAGCTACTGATCATCTTTGCTCTCCCAGCTCGTTTTCTACATTATCCTAGGTGAGCTAAACTTTAGCATCATCAAAGATAGTAGTAGTTGTTAAGTGTATATTTTTACACTTTATCGTATCTTTTTATTTGAGCTTTTGGTGTGTTTTAATGATAATTGGTGCTTAAAAAGTTGATTTATTGTATTGTAGGTACAAATTGAAGAATTGGAAAAGTATGGGGTTAAAACTGCAATTTTGGTGAAAATATGGGTCAAAAGTGAAAATATCAAAATTCTGAAGATTTAATGCTGAGACCCCCGTCCCAGTTTTAGTGCAAATCATGGGACCCCCGTCCGAGAATCCGAAGTTGCGCGGTAA